CGGCGTAAGGCGGGAGCGGCCCGGCTCATACGGCGGCGCTACCTCAGTCTCCCGCCAGCGCGTCGAAAGCCTCAAGAAGAAGCGGCCTCGTAAGTGCCCAGCGGGGCGCCCGAGCGGGTCGCCCTGCCCCCTTCCGGCAGGGCCGCCGTTTTTCCCGCGCGCCCGCGCAGGGACAGTGCCCTCGCACGGTGGTCCCAGGTTGGTGCGTGGGCTGACACCCAGCTGGAGGCCTCGGGTCCAAAAGCGGGGGTCCCCCGCCCGGCCCCCTCGCGCAGTGGTCCCCGCTTGCAGGTTGTCGGAGTGGAGGGCCTTTCCCCCGGACCCTTCCTCCCTCTTCTTAGCTCCTTGGGCATTCTTTGCCCGAGAGTCGCAGGATTTTATCTTTGAGAGGCCTTCTTTTGACTCATTTCCATCGCCCCTCCTTCCCTCTTCCCAAATCCTTTGAATCCCCAGTGTCTGTTTCCCGTGGGTTTCCAAAGAGCTGCTCTCCAAGACGTTAAATCCATTCTCTCTGCAGATTTCGGGCTTGCTGGAAGATGGTTAACTGCCCCCTGAGTTGCTGCAGGCCTAAAACTGGATTCCGTGTTGTGTGCACTAAGCCTTGGCTGCTTTTCTTCTCGTGAGAGTTCGGGTCATCTCTCACCCAGATATCTCCTCTGTTTTCTTTCCATCTATTTGCTGATACTCACGATTCAGAACTGTAGCATTCTGGGCATTAAGGCGTTTTCTTTTGAGGGAACCTCGCCTAGGGAGTTGCATACGCTCTTTCCAGAGATTCGGTTTCCCCATTTTATCATCAGGTTTCTTTTTCTCCGTTGTGTTCTAGTCCAAATAGTTGCTCCCCTTTACAGGTCTTCAGTACATGTCTTCAGTTCACGTCCTCTGTCTAGCAGCCATTGCTGCCGTTGCGAGTGTCGACTCGCGATACTCTAATGGGAGCTTTACAATATCGTGACATTTTACATATGGTTAGACTTTGTTTTCTTGTTGCCAAATTCCTATTTCAGGAAATCAGCTTGTTTTAAATGCAGATCGTGAGAGGGAGAGAGAGTGTGTGAGGTCTTTATTGGATAGTTTTGTATCTTAGCCCAACCACCTAGTTGCTGTAGCCTTACCTTCTGTGATTTGCATGATTAAATATTAAATGTAGCCCTGTTTTGCTATGAAAAGTTTGGGAGTTTTCAATTCTTTTGTTTTTTCCTGTCTTCTTGAAAGAGATTTGGAAAACAGATTATCCGCTCTCCACCTATACCATTTTTAGAACCAGTTATCTGATTTGTGTTTCATTTGAGAAGCATCTGATGTTTAAGCAGTGCAAAACATTTGTTCCTTTGTGGTTTTGTACTCCATTAGAGGTGGATGTAAATTTCAGAGATTCGGCGAATAAGAATTGCAGCCATATAGTCAGCTGTTTGTGGCCATTGGCCACAAAGATTCTAAATAAGTATTGTAGTTTGGGTGTTTGCACCAGACAGGCACTCTTTAAAAAATTTTTTTTAAAATTTTTAAATTGTTTTTCTCAGCTAGTCTTCTAAGAGCTTTAATAACTAATTAGCCCTCACAACTCTGAGGTAGGTGGTGGTATTCCATTTTAGAGGTGGGAAAACTGGGGCGCAGTTGCCCAGTGTCAAATGGCTAGTGAGCGATGGAATAGAAATGTAAGCTCAGGAGTTCTAGCTTCACAGCCTCTGCTCTTAAGCACTATGCCTTATTGCGTTGTTTATGTTCTATTAGCTATTTCTTCCTTGCTCTAAGACCAAGCATAGTCATTATCTTTTGTGTTCAAGGCTCTCTTACTTGAGGTGAAAATTTCTAGCTAATGAGGAAGTACTTCCAAATTTTGAGCATAAAAATGACCTTGAGAGTTAAAAATGCAGATTCTCTGGGTCCAATTCTCTATTTTTTGAATCGGAATCTGGAGAGGCTTCTAAGCAGCTGCATTTTTAACAAGCTGCTCATATCATTCAGATACAGATGACTCCGAGACCACTCGGAAAAACACTGGTTTAGACTATATGGGAGGTGATAGTGGCATATAAGGTGGTTTTGAAACGTCTTTTAAGGAACTAAGACAAATATTCATGTTGTAGGATTTATTTTTTTTTTGTTTTGGTGTCTGATATTTGTCATGGTCCCCTTCGTTGCTTTCTCTGACTGACTGATAAATCATGAAAAGCCATTTCTCAGGTATTGAGACCTGCTAAAGAAATAAACAAGGTATTGTTCTTCCTTTCATTTGCTCTTTCTGTACTATCCAGGGTGCACCTGTTAGATGGAGAGGCAGCATCTTGACTGCTAAACCCTCTAAGAATATACTATGGTTTTAACTTTGAGAGGATTCAGTAAAGACTAAATCTCTTGATACTTAATGTGGGGAGAGTTGGGTATGGGGTGGTGCCACTTTTATTTTGAGGTTAGAAAACCTTATTCTGACATTATGACACTACTTGTCTAAAGGTAGGAGACTAGTTGTCATTTGAAACTAGAAGGAAATATTCAGTTTATCTTAGGAATTCTTGTGGGCCCTGGTTATAGTCGTCTTCTGCCACATGTTCCCTAGAGCAGTGTGATTCTCAAACCTGTCCCCATCTCAGACTTAATGCATCACGGTCATTAGGGATGAAGCTAGGCATGTGTGTGTCTGAGAAGTTCTTCAAAAGTTTTAGATTAGGTGGAGTATGTCTCATAGGACTAGAGAAATACCAAAGATTGGTTTTTTTTTTACGTAAATTTTTTTTTTTTTTGTGAGGAAGATCAGCACTGAGCTAACATCTATTGCCAATCCTCCTCCTCTTTTTTTTTTTCCCTTTTACTCCCCAAAGCCCCAGTAGATAGCTGTACGTCATAGTTGCACATCCTTCTAGTTGCTGTATGTGGGATGCGGCCTCAGCATGGCCAGAGAAGCAGTGCGTCGGTGCGCGCCTGGGATCCAAACCCGGGCCGCCAGGAGCAGAGCGCGCACTTAACCGCTAAGCCACTGGGCCGGCCCCCGAAGATTGGTTTAAATGATGGAAACAAAGATGCTAATGATGGTAACATAGTGCTTACTTCTTTGTCTTAGCCACTATGCCAAATATTTTATAAATATCTCATTTAAGTCTCACAATTACCCTGTGAGGCAGGTGTTTTTTACCCCCAGTTTCCAGATGAGGAAGCAGACTCAGTGAAATTGTCCCTTTGTCCAAGGGCGTATAGTAAGTTTGTAATGGAGCTGTGTTTTGATTCTAGGTGTCTGACTTTAGACCCCATGTTCTTGACTTTCCCCGTTCTACAGTGGGGGAAGGTACATGCAGTGTAATCCAGAGTAGTGGTTCTCACATGGAATCACTTAGAAGCTTAAAAAAAAACCCCTCAGGTCTGCACAGTGGTCTTAGGAACATGCATCTTTTAATTTTTTTTTTGGTGAGGCAGATTGTTCCTGAGCTAACATCTGTTGCCAATCCTCCTCTTTTTGCTTGAGGAAGAGTGGCCCTGAGCTAATGTCTGTGCCAATCTTCCTCTGTTTTGTATGTGGGACGCTGCCACAGCATGGGTTGATGAGCGGTGTGTACGTCCACGCCCGGGATCTGAACCTGTGAACCCCAGGCTGCTGAAGCAGAGCACGTGAACTTAGCCTCTATGCCACTGGGCTGGCCCCAGCATCTTTTAACGTTTAAAAATTTTTTGAAGCATAATTACATACAGTAAAATGTACATTTTTGACAAATGAATACATGCATGTAACAAGAGAACATACATTTTAATCAAGGGCCCCAGATGTGCAGCAGTTGTGCAGGAGATGTGGGAACCCTGGGGTCAGAGTGCTCCATGGCATGTGGAGGACAAGCTGGATCTTTGAAGGTGACTCCCAGGCATATTGTAGCACGTGAGGGAGATCTTCAGGACAAGCTGATTTTGGACTCATGCCAATCATGGAATACCCTTAACCTCCTTTAGTCTAGAAAATAAATTGTAGCTTGACAGTCCTAACCTAGAAAATGGATTGCTTTTCCTTGGCTTTTTGGGGAGCATCAGTGTTAGCGGAACGGAACTGGTGCTGGGGCCCTGGGAGACTGCTCTGTATCAGATGCAGTGTTTCACGTCTTCCCTTGTGGAATTGGGAAGGGCTGCCCACTAGGAGCTCAGGAAACAAGTTAGATTTCTGTTATACCCCATTCTTGAGAGACAGCATGGGAGAGTATGCTTTTTAACCTATTGTTTTATCAACTTGAAATCTAAATGAAATCAGAGTAAACGTGGCCCCTCTTCTTGTATGTATAACAAATATAAAGTATTAAGCAGGGCCTAAAAATAGTCCAATTATGCAGCTGTGTAAAATGGTACAGTATGTTATTTTATAGGACAATGTATGAATCATGAATTTAGATAATATGATTATTCAGTGTTGGTATCCCTGCCCTCTGTTTATCTGGGGGGACCATAAGCAAGAAGCGATGTATGCTATTAAAAATATTTTGCTTAAACACGTGTTAAAAGGAGAGATAAGGAACAAGATAATAGACTGTAGGCTGTTGGAGAGGACCTTATCAGGCAGTGAAAAGAATAGCTGTTTTGGTTGGTCATTTAAAAGAGCAGCGCGGGGCCAGCCCGGTGGCGCAAGTGGTTAAGTGCGCATGCTCCTGTTAAGTGTGTGCTCCGCTGCGGCGGCCTGGGGTTCGCAGGTTCAGATCCTGGGTGCGCACCGACACACCGCTTGTCAAGCCATGCTGTGGCGGTGTCCCATATAAAGTAGAGGAAGATGGGCATGGATGTTAGCCCAGGGCCAGTCTTTCTCAGCAAAAAAAGAGGAGGATTGGCAGATGTTAGCACAGGGCTGATCTCCTCACACACACAAAAAATAAATAAAAGAGCAGTGATGTTCCTTGGGGTTAAATTTATAACCTAGTGAGCATTTTTCAGGTTCATAACTTGGGGTATCTTTATCTTCAGGCATTGTTCTTTCTCAATTTATGTCAGCAAGACTGAGTAGGATGTAAAAGCCGTTTCTAAATACAATCTTGCATCACTTAATGACAAGGATACATCCTGAGAAATGGGTTGTTAGGCACTTTCGTCATTGTGTGAACATCATAGGGTGTACTTACACAAACCTAGATGGGATGGCCTATTACACACCTAGGCTCTATGGTACTAATCTTATGGGACCACCATATATGCGGTCCATTATTGACTGAAACATTATGCGGTGCATGACTGTA